CCCTAACGGGGGAAGAAGTAGTAATAAGGAAGTAGTCTAATCCCTCTGCACTCCATCCAAAACTAAAAAAAGTTTTGCCATTAGTTATATTTTAAGGCTAGATTTTAGACCTGCATCTAAACCAGTCTTCCTCTGAAGAGGGATCAGCATTCTGACAGCTTTTCAGAGCCATTTGGCAGGTGGTGAGGAGGCGATCAATACCTGTTTTAACCCCATAATTGCAGCATAAATTCACCCCAGCTGCATACATTGTGGCTTTTGCGGCTCTTCCTCATTCACTTGTATGGGTCCCTTTTGGAGTGCAACTTGTCAGATAATTGTTGCTGCTGGCCCAAAGCAAAGCATTGCAACCGTGGCATGTGATTGCCTCTGTCTGCTGCCACTGCAGCCCTAAGGGGAGGTGAGGGCAGTTGGGGGGGTACTAAAAACACAGCTCAACTATGTTATATCCCCCAACTGTAAGTATGAACAAGCCGTTAAAGTGTTACTAAACCCACAACAGTAAAATCAGTCTGTATGTGCAGTAAAGCATGCTTGTTATACCTAAGGGGTTAATCCTCTGCATTGTGCAAAAAGGATGTTTGATCCTGACTTCTCTGCCCTTCCTCTTGTTCAAATGTCCATGCCGATAAGACAGACTGAACCCGTATCCCTTCTGCACATGCTCAGTTTAGTGTATATTGCTAGAGAGGTTTTTTTTTTTTTGCTTGGGAGAGTGCATGTGATCAGCACAGGACCTATCAACACTGTCCAGACAGAGGTCAGGGGTTCTGCATCCTCCTAGAGCAGAAAGAAAACTCCTCCTACAAGCTTTAACCAGTGCTCTGCTGAACACTGATAGAAATCACAAGACTGCTCTAACTGGTTGCTGATGAGAAAAGGTATTTAGCAGTTTATATTTGCTACAATAACTGCATTTCCATGTTGTGTGTGCTGTGGGAGACCAGATATAGTGAATGCAGGGTCCGGGGAGACCAGATATAGTGAATGCAGGGTCCGGGGGAGACCAGATATAGTGAATGCAGGGTCCGGGGAGACCAGATATACTGAATGCAGGGTCCGGGGAGACAAGATATACTGAATGCAGGGTCCGGGGAGACAAGATATACTGAATGCAGGGTCCGGGGAGACAAGATATACTGAATGCAGGGTCCGGGGAGACCAGATATACTGAATTCAGGGTCCGTGGAGACCAGATATACTGAATGCAGGGTCCGGGGAGACCAGATATAGTGAATCTAGGGTCCGGGGAGACCAGATATACTGATTGCAGGGTCCGGGGAGACCAGATATACTGAATGCAGGGTCCAGGGAGACCAGATATACTGAATGCAGGGTCCGGGGAGACCAGATATACTGAATGCAGAGTCCGGGGAGACCAGATATACTGAATGCAGGGTCCGGGGAGACAAGATATACTGAATGTAGGGTCCGGGGAGACCAGATATACTGAATGCAGGGTCCGGGGAGACCAGATATACTGAATGTAGGGTCCGGGGAGACCAGATATACTGATTGCAGAGTCCGGGGAGACCAGATATACTGAATGCAGGGTCCGGGGAGACCAGATATACTGAATGCAGGGTCCGGGGAGACCAGATATACTGAATGCAGGGTCCGGGGAGACCAGATATACTGAATGCAGGGTCCGGTGAGACCAGATATACTGATTGCAAGGTCCTGGGTTTAGTAACACTTTAAAGAAATTCTCTCACATAACAAAATGCCCTTTGAGAATTCTCCAACTGCAACTACCATTCTAAGGCCTCACGCACACCTGAGCTTAAAAATGCTGCTTTTACAGGCGTTTGAGCTTTTTTTTTTTTTTTCATGTCACTAAACGCCCCTCCTTGTTAGCCTATGCGCACATGCACACTATAGGCTTTTACAGGAGTTTAGTGGCAGAAAAAAAACCCACACCAATGTCACATTCAGGAGAGAAGGTTTTGACCAGAAAAATGCTTAAACACGCATAAGTGCGCTAACTCTAGGCACGTTAATCCATTGTAATGGCCAGAATAAATTAATATTCCAGCCAACAGAATGCATTCATGTTATATGCGTGAACATGCATAATCATGCGTGAACACGCATGAAAAAATACGGCTTTTTATTGCTGCTAAACACCTGTGGAATAAAAAGCCAGAATGCAGTGTACATGTGGCCTTAAACTTGCATATTAGACTACCACAGAACTAACTTGCACCTCATGGAGGGGTGACAGCTTCTATCCGATGCTCCACACACAGGTAGCTTGCTTCCTAAATCGTGATTTGCTTTTAAAGGTGTTTCTCTTCATTTGTCTCTAGCCGAGCAATACACGCTTGAACACAAAAGCGCAAGTCCTGCCGCGCCGAAGCGTCAGACTGACAGGCTGTAAGGACCATTCTGTCCCTGTCATTATGAGGCTTCTATATATACAGTGCAGGATGCCAATTCATGGCAAGGCTGAAAAGCTGAATTTATTGTCTGCAGCCCTCCCATCTGGACGAGATATTACCAAAATTATATATAAGCCAGTTAGTAAACACTTTGGCGCATTGTCTGTTGTTCCCATAATCACCCTTAATAACGCCTCGCATCAATATGGTCTTTAACAAGATTTGGGAGTTAATGTGATAAGAGGCAGGTCAGGGAGCGATGGCAGAGCCCTTACACATGTTTGTAAAGAACAAATTGAATCAGCACTAAATTGGCCTCTCTTGTCGGCCGGAGACGCAGCCGCGAGTTCAGGGCTGCTGGGAGTTGGATTTTAACCTCGTGCAGAAAATGCACTTAAGCAGATTAAAGTAAAATAGGAGCGCTTGCTGGATGGATGTGCTATGTAATTGCAGCTGCGCTAATGGCTTCCTGTGTGCTCTGGCACGGCAGCGAGGCGGGCGGCGAGGTCACATGATGAGTGGTATTGAGCGGTAGAAAGGTGGCAAAGCTGAAAATGGTGCAACTCCTCTCCACCCCAGTGTGAAAAAAGTACATATAATATACCACCTAGAAAAAAAATAAAATAAAATCAATATTACCTTTACTTTGCTCTGTCATCGTTTTCTGAACGTGAACAGATGCAAGGAAATCTGAAAGAGATGTTTTATGATGACTAAAATCATATTTTTCTGCTGTAATGACACGAGCCTGAAAGCAATTATGTCATTCTACAGCCGCAATTTTCTCAATTTAATGCCGTGTAATTTAGTGCGATGTGTGGCGACCAGATCAGGCTATATAGGTACAGACGCTGGTTTGTAAACGTTGAAGGAAAGAAAATGCATGCACCCACAGATGCCCAATTCCATTGGATTGGTTGCCTGTGCAACACAGATATCTCAGAGAGGTCATCGTGCGTAAACGTGTTACTGTACCAACTGGAATGGCTCTTTCGACAGGTAGAGACATTGGCCGCCATTTAATACAACATTTGCCGCTTTTTTTCTGGTGCTGTTGGTGCATTAGAAACATCTGCACCTAAATGATGAAAGCCTCGCAGCCCCAGTTCACACTAAGAATTGCACAGGAACTAGCTGCACATTCCTGTGCGATTCACATGCGATAAAGTGCAGTGTGTTTTGAGCCCATTCACTCTGAATGGGGTCAAATCGCACTGCATCGCAGCAAAAGTATTGCCCTTCTTTGGAAACCGGATGTGATCCGATGCAGGCAAATGCACTGAATTATCAACCTGCATTTAGGGTGTCATTAATTTAACGTTTCCACCTGCTGCAGATTGCAACTGCAACATGCTTTGAATGTGTGTACTTACCTCAATCCAATACACCCAGTGTGGTTCCTATCTGCTCTCTCTTCCCTCTGCTATCTACATGAGTCACTTCTGACAGTCTATGCAAAGAGTGATGGCCCCACCCCCCCCTTCCAGCACACAAAGGGTGATTGACAGCCTTAGCTGTACATGTTTCCCTATGAGACTTTGTAGAGGGGGGAGTTGCCCTCCACTCAGGTCTCAGATTACACTGAGCTCCCTGCATTAACGTCGGCCTTTCATGTGTTCGGCGAACACATGGACGGCAAAGGCGTTTGGTGGGCTGTTCACCTGCCACACTCCACAATCCACTACACTCTGACAGTGCATTGTAATTGGCCAAAGCAATGCACCTGACTACAGGCTTTGGCCAATCACAGCGCATGATGATTTCAAAAGAGGGTGTTGGTGACTGGTCACCCCTGGTGACGTCATCATACTATTTAAGAACTGTCAGCTGTCAGACAGTGGGAGCCAGTTTCTTGAGCGGAGCGTTTTTTTTTTTTCTTTTTTGGGTCGGTGGTGGTGGCGGGCATAGTGATTGATGTTGGATCTACTTCGAAGGACATTTTTTTTTATTTTTGTTTTTAATAAAGAACTTGTCAAAGATGGTCTCCTGTCATATTTACACTTTTTACACTTTTCTTTTTTGTAAATGAGTAGTGGTACCATGTACCTCATGCTCATTCACATGGGGAGGGGGCGGGATCTGGGGGCCCAACTGTTAAAGGGGGCTTCCAGATTCCGATAAGCCTCCACCCCCAGACCCCCACAACCATCTCCCACAGTTGTGGGGAGGAGGCCCTTGTCCTCATCAACACAAGCCCCCTCCCGCCCATGTTGAGGGCATGTGCCCTGCTATTGTTCAGGAGGAGGGGATGCTCGCTTGTTCCCCCCCTTTCTTGACCTGCCGAGCTGCATGCTCAGATAAGGATATGGTATGGATTTTGGGGGGGACCCCCACGCCATTTAAAAAAAAAAACATTTGTGTGGGGATTCCCCTTAACTAGTTGCCGACCGCAGATAGCCGAATGACGGCTTCACTGCGGCCGGCCAGTTCTGGGTGGACGTCATATGACGTCCCCCCAGAACGCGCTCTCCTGCGCGCCCCAGGGGGCGCGCACCCGGCGATCTCCGTGATTGCTGTGTCCTACGGACACAGCTGATCACAAGATGTGGTAAAAGGCCGATCATACCAGCCTTTTACCACGTGATCAGCGGTGTCCAATGACACGCTGATCACAGGGAAATGCAAGTGCTGGTTCTCGGCTGCACTTTCCTCACGCTGTCAGATCGTGAGGAAAGTACTGCCGAGAACCGGCAGTTGTCAGAGCGAGGATCGGCACCGATCATCAGGGCCACTGATGATCAGTGCCCTGATGATCGGTGCCCAGCAGTGCCACCCACAAGTTCCGCCCACCTGTGCCCAGCAGTGCGCCCACTAGCTCCGCCCACCTGTGCCCAGCAGTGCCACTCTGCAGTGTCACACACCTGTGCCCAGAAGTGCCACCTACCTGTGCCCAGCAGTGCCACCCACCTGTGCCCACCCACCTGTGCCCACCAGTGCCACCCACCTGTGCCCACCAGTGCCACCCACCTGTGCCCACCCACCAGTGCTGCCCACCAGTGCCACCCACCAGTGCAGCCCAGCAGTGATGCCAGTCAGTGCCATCTATCAGTACCCATCATCAGTGTCACCTATCAGTGCCGCCTATCAGTGCTGCATATTAGTGCCGCCTATCCGTGACACCTCATTAGTGCTGCCTATCAGTGCCGCCTATCCGTGCCACCTCATTAGTACTGCCTATCAGTGCCCTTAATGCTGCCTATCAGTGCCCATCAGTGCCGCCTATCAGTGCCCATCAGTGCTGCCTCATCAACGCACATCAGTGAAGGAGAAAAAATACCTGTTTGAAAAATTTTATAATAGAAACAAAGAAACTTTTTTTTTTTTTTTTTCAAATTTTTTGCACTTTTTTAATTTATAGCGCAAAAAGTAAAGCGCCCAGTGCCGATTAAATACCACCAAAAGAAAGCTCTATTTGTGAGAAAAAAATGATCAAAATTTCATATGGGTACAATGTTGCATGACCGCGCAATTGTCAATCAAAGTGCGGCAGCGCTGAAAGCTGAAAATTGGCCTGGTAAGGAAGGGGGTATAAGTGCCTGGTAGGCAAGTGGTTAAAATCCATACCAGGCCTGAAGGGCTTGATATGGATGGGGGGGACCCCAGATGTTTTTGTTTTTTTTTTTTTTTTTAATTGCTGGGCAATGCCAGCAATTCTTTTTACATTCAGCAATAAAGAATTTGTTTAGTAGATGTGCGGTATCTTACTGCATATTCAGATGTGGTAAGATACCGCTTAGTGAATTGTCCCCTCTATTCGAAGTTTACGGTTGAACTTTCGTTATGTTCCAATGTTTGACCGCGAACTGAAGAGGGGGGTGGTTGGCCCATCGCTAATGCTGTACAGTGTGTGACATCAGATCCCAGCCCCCTACCTGCTGGAGCTCACATATGCTGTGTACAATGTGTGTTTCAGGAGGCTGTAGAGGACAGGTACAACCTGGAGGATTTATTCCATCTCTATGTACCACCTGAGGCCAGTCACTTCACCGGGTATGTGTAAGGGTTTACAACCATCCTTTCTAATCCTTTCTTAGCCTTACTTTTTACCTATATTTTTACAGCCAAGGAAGCTGCCATTTTATCCTCTGTTTGATCTGCAGATGTCATGGTGCTACACAAGTGATCAACTATGACACCAGCCATTTGATGGCTTGGCAGTTCAGCTGAGAGAGCAAGAAACTGTGACAGTTATCATTCACATGCCTTAAATGAACTGTTTTGGGAAACAGTTTATTGGATCGATTTAGTTCCAGCTTCATCCAAACATACCAGATCACCCAAAAAAAATCAGGGAGTCGCCCTGTCTTTAACCCCTCTTACCCTGTCTCCCTGATTATCTTTCATTCACCTGACTTCTGCTCTCTTCTTGTTAAAGGGGGCTTCCAGAAATACTGCTACAGGGCAGCATGGGTGCGCAAAATCACATATATATATGTGATTTTGCATTTCCGGGTAGGGGACATGCACCCGTGCTACCATTCCCGGCTGCAGCTGTCAATCACCGGGTCCCGGCCGGTGATTATTTGTAGACGCCCAAGCACAGCCATCCAAAGCAGTGTGCTTACAGTGAAGCACACAGACAGAAGTAAAACAGCACACAGTTAACCCTTTGATCACCCCTCATGTTAACCCCTTCCTGCCCAGTGCCATTAGTACTGTGTCAGTGTTTTTGTTTAGCACTGATCACTGTGTTGGTGTCACTGGGGATGTCAGTGACACCAAGTCAGTTCACCCCCAGTGTCAGAATGCCCGCTGCAGTCCCGCTATAAGTCGCTGATCGCCACCATTACTAGTAAAGCATTTTTTTTAAAAATCCCAGTATATATACCACCATTTGTAGACGCTATAACTTTCAGGTAAACCAGTTAATTTACACGTATTGGGATTATTTTTTAGCAAAGACATGTAGCAGAATACATTTTAGCCTACATTTATGGCGTCATTTGATTTTTAAAAAATTTTTACTGGAAATGTTTAATAGCAAAAAGTCAATAATATTGTTTTTTTCTCAAAATTGTTGGTCTTTTTTATAGCGCAAAAAATAAACAAACGCAGAGGTGATCAAATACCACCAAAAGAAAGCTCAATTCGTGGGGAAAAAAGGATATAAATTTCATGTGGGTGCAGAGTTGCATGACCACGCAATTATCAGTTAAAATAACACAGCGCCGTAACGCAAAAAATGTCCTGGCCAGGAAGGGGGGTAAATGCTCAGGAGGGCAAGGGTTAAAGTATTAAAATCACCAAAATAGGCTTTAACGTGATAAAAGATGTTTTCTCTCTTTACATTTCCAGCTTTAATTAAAATAATACCTGCTGATCCTGCCATTAAGGTCCTTGTTCAGGCACTTCCTGTAATAGAATGGCAACTGTGTCTCAATTGTGGATCACTTATCAGAGGGCATTTGACAGATGGTAAGAGGCATTGTTTCACCTACTCATCCTTGCTTTAACCGCTTTAACCCCTGCCACTGCACCAAGTGCACGTGGTGCAGCACAGCCCCATTCACTTAAATGGGTCATGTTCAAGGGCAGTAATGTCTGGGGGCATCATTTATGCCACACTGCGATGCAAAGTATCATGGATAGAGCATGTGTAAACCCCTGTAAGGCATCCTTCTCAGCTTGAGAGGGCAGTAAAAACATAACTCAATTGCATTTTTTATGCCACCCCCCAACCTAAAGTGTAAAACTAGGCCTAAGAGTATTGGTATTGGAGAGCTGTGTGCAGTAATTCTGGCAAAGCCCTCATTCACACAGGCATGCCTGTTCACCTGTGAAATGCAGAGCTGTTCCGCTCATCTGCGTGCGGCCAGCTCCATTCATGTCTATTGTTGACAGGTTGAAAGACAAGCTCGGTACAAAAGTGCGTCACACTTGAAGGTATATTTAGGAAGTTTATTGCAGTTCACAGATCAAAGGTAATGCCAAAGCTTCATCAGGATATTAATGGTGAATGCGAATGGAAAAGATCTAAATGGCTTCAGAGGATGAGGCCCATTAGATGCTGTCGGGTTGCTGAGTGGCGGCATGGTATCACCTCGACAGCTTCCTTAGCCGCACCGCTGTTCCAGGTCTGTTCCATATGCATTGTCCCTCATTCCCAAGCGTTAGCTTTACCTTTGACCTGTCAACTTCAATAAACTTTGATATACCCTCGATTGTGAAAAGCTTTTGTACCAAACACACCCCCGTATACCCATACACAAGTATCCTGTGGAGCGTCTTTGTGAGAAGCAGCAGCCCAAGATCTCATTGGGGTCCACCAACATCACACCTTCATTGGGTAAAAACCCTCCGTAAGTATAAACTACTCCACTTTCAACAATATCAAACTCTCCATCGGTCCAGCACTGTCACGCATATACATCAGATTCATGTCCTTTGAGATGCAATGATTGTACGGACACTGCCACTGGTCCCAATTCGATGGCTGTAAGGACACAGCCTCTGGTCCCAATTCGATGGCTGCAAGGACACAGCCTCATGTCTCAATTTGATGGCTGTAAGGACACAGCCACTGGTCCCATTTCGATGGCTGTAAGGACACAGCCTCTGGTCGATGGCTGCAAGGACACAGACTCTGGTCTCAATTTGATGGCTGTAAGGACACAGCCACTGGTCCCATTTCGATGGCTGTAAGGACACAGCCTCTGGTCTCAATTTGATGGCTGTAAGGACACAGCAACTACTCCCAATTTGATGGCTATAAGGACACAGCAACTGGTCCCAATTTGATAGCTGTACAGACACAGAAACTGGTCTCAATATGATGATTGTACAGACACATCAACTAGTCACAATATGGTGGCACTACAGACACAGCTACTGGTTCCTATTTGACGGCTGTAAGGACACAGCCACTGGTCCCAATCTGATGGCTGTAGAGACACAGCCCCTGTTCCCAGTTTGATGGCTGTATGGACACAGGCACTGATCCAAATTTTATGGTTGTATGGACACAACCACTGGTCCCAGTTTGATAACTGTATGGACACAGGCACTGATCCCAATTTTAAGGTTGTACGGACACAACCACTGGCCCCAGTTTAATGGTTGTATAGACATATCAACTAGTCTCAAATTGATGGTTGTATGGACACAGCCATTGGTCCCAATTTGATGTTTGTATGGACACAGCCAGTAGTCCCAATTTGATGTCTGTGTAAGGACACAGCTGCTGGTCCCAATTTGTTGGTTGTATGGGCACAGCAACTGGTCTTAATGTGATGGTTGTATGGACACAGTCACTGTTCCCAATATGATGGTAATATGGACACAGCCACTGGTCCCAATTTGATGACTGTACATACACAGCAACTTGTCCCAATTTGATGTGTGTACAGACACAGGCACTGTTCCCAATTTGATGGCTGTAGGGACACAGCCACTGATCCCAATTTAAGGTTGTATGGACACAGCCACTGGTCCAAATTTGATGGTTAAATGGACAGAGCCACTGGTCCCAATTTGATGGCTGTACATACACAACCACTGGTCTCAATTTGATGGATATGCAGATACAGATACAGACACAGCCACTAGTCCCAAATGGATGGCTGTATGGATATACTTAGTTGCTGATCCTAATTTGATGGCTGTACGGACACAGCCACTGGTCCCAATTTGGGAGCCATGTGGGTGTGTGACTCTAAATTTAAATTTTCTGCGTATGGCTGTTAAATTAGGACCAGCATTATTACATTCTTTGCACAGGTGTATGGATTGGTACACCCATGTTAATGAGGCCTAAAGCTATGGTTGCCTAACCAGGGCCCTAGGCCTACCTCTGCTGTCTCCATCCCCACTACACCACCGCCCTTGGCCTTCAAACAATACCTGTCTATATTGTCTGTAACAAGCCAATTTCACCCCTTCTTTCTTCCAAATAAAAGTCAGACTGGTTCTTTTGCCAACACAGCCACTTCTACTTGTAGGTAGTTTGATAAATGAGGCTGAAAAGGACTGGCGGTAAAGCCAGCTATTTCAACAGCAGTGATTTAGGTGCGGTGAACCTTTAAAACGCTCTATCCCAACACTGCTCTTTTATATAATGTTTTACAGTCAATGGCTGTATTAAATGTCTTTTGT